GACCTTAGATCATTCAGGGTGTCCCAGAATTAGCCTGCCAAACTTCACCAGCGGCTTTTACTATTACAAATCGAAAGGAAACTTCCAATGAACATGAGTCGAGTCGAGTCATCTCCACAACTTTTATTTAATGATCATAGATCATATAAGGGAACATGTTTCGATATTATCGATAAGTTTGCCCACCCATAATGTCCAGTTGAAGTTTATTTTTTGCAACTTTGTGGCTTTCCCGAGGGCTTTCCTATTTCCTTATGTTAGGCTCAAATCGTCAGATTATTGAAATGCACACTTTCCTGCATGTAATTAACGTACCATGTATTAATCTGACGCACTCGTTTTTTTCCAACGATCGGCTGCCCTATGACGTTCGACACCAAATAAAGATCCCAGATATGGTGGTAACGTATGGTCCGAAAGTTTTGGAAAAAATATCAGATGCTGACAACTCTTAGATACAAATTTCTATAATCTCAACAAATAATCTTACAAAATCTCTTAACTATTCTTATCACTACCTAAAGTTCAAATAATCGACAAGGAACCGTTGTCTTCGATCTGCCTGAGTTTTCCTCTGACGCGTTGCATCATCCTTTGGACGACCCCAGCGTTGATTTCTCTGATTTTCCCGATATACGACGTTGGAGTTGTTCTTGATTTTGTGCTTCCCATCCGTTATTGTAGACTTTCCGGCTCAATATTGCCCATAGAAGTCTTCAATTGGGCGTGCCTGAGGTAGGTTGGGGGGATTGTCCACTTTCGGTACAAAGTTGATGTTGTTGGCCCCATACCAATCCCTTGTGATTCTCGCATAATGGCATGGAGCAAGATCTGGCCAAAACATAATTTCGTCATTCGCATGATTTGTATTTAAAAACTGAAGCAATTTAGAGAGACATCTGTCAATATATCGCTCTGCATTTAAGGCCTCACCACGAACAACGCCAATGTAGGGCTGTGAAATGAAACCAGCCTCAGAAATGGCACACCATACCAAAATTTTGTCCTCAAACTTCTTTTTGCTCTTGAATCTCACATCGTCAGGAACATTTGCGTGATCGTCCGTGTAGAAACCATCATTGCCCTTCATCTCAGAGTTGGCCAAAGTGACATATTTTTCGTCGTCCATCACGATCAACTTGTTGGCAAAATGCACTCGCCTCAACGCGCGGCAACATCTTGGAATTCTTTCTAACTGAGCCTCTGTGTATTTTGGAGCTTTTCTCCTTTTCCGGAACAAAACATTGTGTCTTGATAGGGTCTTAAACACCGTAGTCTTTCCAACATGAAATCTACTGGCCAGTTTTCGCTGTGAGATCCCAATTCTGTGTTTAGCTGCTTGAATAAGTCTCCGCTCTCTTAATTGGTTCAAAACCCGCGGCCGACCGTTTTTTGGCAAGTTCATACATGGTATCTTGAAAAATATCGACAATCTCTCGTTTCGTCATTCGCCCAACGAGATTATAAATACCTCGACGAAGATCAATTCTATAAGACATTTTGGTAAGCCCAAACCAACAACTTTTGTATTGCAATACGGACCATACGTTAGTACTGCACAAGGTGCAAGGTAACCCCCCTTTGATATTCTTCCGTGCTCGAGTAAATCTCAAAAATTACCGCTTTTGGGCTCCCCTACTATAATGAATCGTGAATTCATGGAATATTATCTATTTTCGATTCAATAATTAGCGGTTTTGGCAGTAGGTAAAATATTATACTATATTCGTATCGTAAATTCATAATTCGATAATCGACGGGTTATCAGACCCGACCTTCAGCCTCCTTTGACAAATTTTCCATCTCATATCATAATATGAATCTCTACTATAATTCTATCGTAAATATCTAGTACTCCACTTTGAGAAACTATAGACTTCTACCAGAGATTATGATAATCTTTTTGATAGCAAGCTAAAGAAACAAAATTCTTTTCCTTAAACATCGTGCGTATCTGGAGAGAATTGGGAAATGAGGTATAGTTATTGGATTCTTACAGAGCCGGATTAGAGGTCTGGAGGCCCTGGGGCAACAAAAGAGTGGAGACTCCCTGGCTCCTGATTGTTTTCCATATAAAATTAACAAATTTCTCGGTCATTATTTTTAGCAAAACCAACTAAATTATTTTACAGAGGGTGATTCTCAAGTTTGTGTAAACATTTCAGGAGCATGTTGCTGACGTTTAAATAAGAAGAAAAGTTTGGATAAACATAATATGTACGCAAGTTATTCATTCTGAGATACAGAGTGTCAAATTTTGATTGTTATTTCGTTTTTTCGTGAATGAATTCCAAAATAATCGTGATATTCGAGTGAGATATTCAATTTCACTCTAATATCACGTTCATTTCTGAATTTACTCACAAAACTCACAAAAAAACAGGAAAAATAATCAAACTTTGACACTTTGTATCTCATAAATGAATAACTTATATGTTTATACGAACTTTTATTCTCAATTTGACGTCAGCGAGATGCTCCTGTAATTTTTATGCGTACTTAAGAAACACTCCGTAGAAATATGGTCAAAAACAATAATTAGCTGAAATAAGGTTTTAACCCATCGAAGTTCGAGTGCTTATCACGGCCATATTGACGAATTGATATTTTCAGATTGGAGTGAACGAATATAATTGAATTTTTTTCAATATTTAGGAATGATATAATTATGTTTCTACAAACTACTGAAGGTGGAACAACGAACTTAACTTTTCCATAAAAAAATATTGTAGGAAAAGCTGTTTACTAGTGTTTACCCGTCGAAAGTCGAAAGATTTTTTTTCTCTATTGTGGAGGCCCCTTTTTTGTGAAGGCCCTGGGGCTGTAGCTGTAGTTTTGACAAATAATGAATAGTTTCGACACAAAAAATGCTAAGACTGAAAAAAACTGAAAAATCTCGATTTTGAACACCCTATAACTCTTTAATCATTGCCGCTGGATCTCAAGTGTGATGCATTGATGGAATCAGCTCTTTGAGGAGAATCTAAAAATGCAAGAAGTACAGGGTATTCTATTTGAAATAACAAAGTTGTCTCTAATTTTCGTTAGAAGCGGCAACGCCGCAGAGCTGAGAATAATTTAGATCGATGTCCCCCTCGAAAATGTAGTTGACTTGTTTCATTAAATATCATGAAGTTATTAACTAAATTCATAGATCGATAAGAAATACAGGTTTCGATCGATATCAGTCATCAGGGTCGAGCGATATTTCCCACTTGAACATCGAACATGATTTGATGCTGATTATTTTTGATGAATGATGCAATATTGAGACATTTATAGTCGAGTTTATAGTACCTACTCAAAACCAGAGAGGAAACTCAATAATATTTTTCATCCGTTATATATTTTTTATTTGTTAGACTTTCCAGAAATGATATTTCGTGCTTGTGATTTTTACTTGAGAATCATGTCAATATACGTGAAGTGAGGACAAATCAGATGATTTACTCCAAAATATCACTGCGTTTATAGAAATTTTTCTATTAGAGAGCCTAAAAGAAGAATTCAATCGATGTCATTAACACCTTGTTTCGAAAAATTTTCGAAGAGAAATATGATGGATAATTATATCGAAAAATTATCATATTTTTATTTAGCTTTGGACGTTTAGGTAACGAATCTGTTTCCGTTTTCAACATAAAAAATGGAAAATATTCTTTACGAATTTGATGAAAATGGTAAATTTGAAATAAATAAATAACATCCTGTAACTCATTTGTTTGCAACAACGCTGAGAAGTGTCAATGATGAAATGAGAAGACTATTCGGGAAGAAATATGTTCCTTTTTTTTTCAATTTGTATACAAATTCTCGCCCCCTATAGGGGGCGAAAATAGTCATTTATATACCAAGGTAGTAAATAATATCAGTATTATCCAGAGACCAAGATTATATCACGAGGCTTCAGCCCAAATATGACCCTACCTAACTACGGCCCTGGTCATTTGAAAAATCATAAGAACTTCTCGTCAGATTATTTCACATTTCTTCTCAGACATCGTATAAACTAGGTATTTATAATAAGGTATCTAGGTATGCTGAAATGAATAATTATTATGCATAAAAAACTCGAAAGGGCACATCTGGGGGTTCATCCAAATCTTGAAACAGGAATGACCTCGGGAATGACTGTACTTAATTCCTATAAATGTACCCACCTTCGCATTTTTAGAACTTGACGAATTGTTTATTAGATATAGGTAGGTAGGACGCTTATTATTTCAATAAATACCTACTCTAATAAAAGTAGGTATTCAGATATTCAATAATCGCTCGAAAATGAAGGAACATAGTTCGATCATGCTCAAATTCAACTCTGACCAGAATTTTTATTTCAATTTTTAGCGTTCAGGGGCCCTGCGATTCGGCACCTGTCACCTCAATCCGGCCCTGTGTTTTGTGAACGGTGCTGTTGCTATCGGTATCACGGTATCGCCGATCGGTATTGATATTGATTATCGTCCATTTTTAGTGATGCTGTTATCGCCCATTTTACTAAGTCCTCTTCATAACAAATATCGAGAAAAAACGAACAAGATATGCAATTTCAATGTTTCTTCCGCTAGACGGATAGAAACGGAAAAGGGCATTCACAGGAGTCTTACCTGTTAGCCGCAATAGCCAGTAAGAAGTTTAAGAACTGAGAAACACAAATGAATGAATGAATATCTATGCAAAACAAACGCGAATATGAAATCACGTAGTGAGAATAGGAGCAAGACCACGGTGGAAAACGGACCGTACCATAAGAGACAGGCTCACTATTCTATTTTGTTGTGGATCAAATTCGTCTCTCTCTCCTCTCATCTCCACGCTCTCTCTTTCAAATTTTCACCATCCTCTCTCTCTTCCATCTACTTCTACTTACTGCACATAGCTGAGCCGCCGGTGCAGACCTGACGCTACGCTTCTCTGAAGCTTGTCCCGTTGTTCGGTTTGCCGCGAAAGCTTGTGTTGTCATTGGCCGGAACCTTAGCGTCGCTGCGCTGTGTCTTTCTGAGTGTTCATGTGACGTCACTTGAGTTTCGTCAGGTCTGCACCGGCGGCTCCATCGGCTGCAAAATCTGCTCAACGCGAACGATCGCTTTTAGTTCAAAGCCGCCCTATGAAGACTTAACAACGTTTTTCGTCATCTCCTGGCAAATACAATAGGAGTTAAAAAATATTGTGATACTTAGTTTTAGTGTGCCAAAATAGGTAACTATACATTTCATATAGTACTTTATCGCGAAAATTGTCGATTTCCCAATGAAATGATTCACAAGTTCGGTCCAAAGCTGCATTTTTGGTTTGGGGAGGGTACCTGGGCATCCGAGCTTTTTTGATACATTTCCAATTGTTTTGAGCTTTTGAACTTCGATAATGATTTGAGAATGACGATAGCTTCATTTTGATCTAACTATCATTCATAGTTGATAGGTATTTTGATTTTTATTCCGAAATTTACGTGTCGGCATCGCCATTTTTCCATATTGGTTCGGAAAAGCGGCCATTGTGGTACCAAGTTGCGCTTTCCTTTCCCCTTCTTTGCTGACGTGTCGATAAAGTTTACAACGCCTGCGCTGTACTGCCACTTCACTATTATTCGATATTGATTTTTGATATAGATGATGACGATGCAATGGGATATTTGTGAACTTGTGTTGTCCACTTTTAAAATTTTCGTTTGGTAATTTCGTAATACCTATCTATACCATACCTAAGTTGAACATTTTGTCTTTTGTCAAGATATTACTGATGTTGGTTCCCATAATGGAATCTGTGTTTGGGTGTGGTGTCTGCCTTCCTCTTTTATAATCTTTGAAATGTTTTTAACCCACAAATACTTGAATAATAATAAAGTAATAAAAGTTTTTGGCTGTGCAATATTTCCCCATTAAGTGATACTGAAATGACTTCGACAAGGAACTTGATATTGACTCCATTGTTTTTCGAAAATTTTTGTTTATACCCATATGGAAAATAGATGGTACTCTTTTAATTATCTAATCTGATCTTATTTCTTCAAAATTCTTGAAAAGTAAATTGAGAACTGGATATAGGTACCTATCCTATTATTGCCACATGAATTTTGGACTAGGTAATTCAGGATTGAAATAGAACATTCTTTGAGGATATTAGTTTTTGTGAACTACATAGTGCCACCTCATCTTTCAGTACAATATTTTTGTAATCATTCTGATTTTTCTCTTTTTTGTTACAGTTGAAAATGGATGACGACCAGCAGTTTTGTTTAAGGTGGAATAACCACCAGTCAACGTTAGTAGCCGTATTTGATACATTGTTAGAAAATGGTACCCTGGTGGACTGCACCCTGGCAGCAGAAGGAAAATACCTGAATGCACATAAAGTTGTTCTTTCAGCATGTAGTCCATATTTCGAGGTAAGAAATGTGATTTAAACCTACATATATTATAGTTATTGTATCTACAATATTTTGGATGAATCTGTTTTATTTGGTTGGCTACATTGAATTCTGCTCAGAATTATTATTCAGATTGTATAGTTAATTCTGGTTATATCCATGGAGTTTTAAGTATACAGTGAGGTTACAGATATTGATGGGGTTGATACTGAAATATTGTCCTTTTTAGACCTTTTAAATTGAGATTTTTGGTTGGAAGTAAATACCAGGTATTTTTATATGTAAGCCATTGTCAGATGTATAGATAGGTTAATAGAAAATATAGTACTGTCTATATTTCTCATGAGGTTTTTGTTTTACTCAGTGAAACTACAGATGCTAATTTATTGGAGGGATATATTATACTGAAACAGAAGGAATATAGTAGTCTATATTTCTGGTATATTGAAAGAATAGATACTGATGGATTAGTATAATTTTTTTCTGAAATGGAGATTTTTTTGGTCAAAGAAGGTACAGATCTATAATATACACTGGATTTATTGTTATTGATACATTACTAGATGATAATTTTATCCCAAATTCAGGGCCCAAAAGAAGTAAAATTACCTACCAGAATTGGGAAATTTGTTCTTTGGATGTAAAAATGAATGTTTTGCTATATAATTCTATACAAACTGCAGATACAAGGTGTCATAAAATTGGCGCTCATTTTTTTTCAAAATTTCGATAAGAGAAACTGAATGGTCTGTACAGGGAAATTCAGACACAATGAGTAATCCGTAGAAATTATCCATTCTCTAAAGTGGTCCAATGTATTTAAAAAAAAACAAATTTCAAAGTAGGTCAACCACACTTTATAAAAGTGAGTTGAGAAACCGTGACTGGTTTTGGCACAACGTCCATCATCAGACTGTGCAGTACAATAGTCACATTAAGATCATCAAAAAAGAAATTTTACAAAATCAAAAAACATTAGGCCTGAGAAGTCAGGTATTTACTGCACAGTCTGATGATGGCTGTTGTGCCGAAACCGGTCACTGTTTATTAATCTTTTATATAAAGTGTGGTCCACCGACTTTTGAAATTTGTGTTTCTCACTTACAATTAGTGATCCACCAATATGACATTTTTAGCCAATACCGATAATGTCTTGGCCAATAACGGTATATATCGGCATATCGGCCTTTTTCAATTGATAACATTCATTATTGATTATTATTTTCTGAAATCTCTAAAATCTGAATATTTTGTAGTATAGTTTATAATTTATAACGTTCAATTTAGAATCATAAAAATATAAACAAAAATTGCACTTTGAATGAACCGTAAATTCGGCGAAAAGGAATCCAGAAATATTGAATGCCTATTTCATGTTAAATTAATGTTGTTGTTGCCGAAACTACAGTATTCATATTGAATGCCTATTTCATGTTATATCTACCATAATTTCTTAAGATTAACTTATTTCATATGCTACTTTGAATTTAAGTATAAAAAAATGTTTTAAGCTGCTATGGTTGGATTTATTATTTATACATCGGCCGATACAGCCGATATATACTCACATCTATCGGCCGATACAGCCGATATATACTCACATCTATCGGCCGATATAGCCGATATATCGGCATTAGGATCGGTTGATCACTACTTACAATGAGTAATAATTTTACAAAGGATGGCTTCGAAAATTACAGTTTCATCATGAAAACACTATCCAGCAAATCCAAATATCCCATTAATCATGTCCGCTCTTTTTCATTACAGACGCTCCTCTCGAAGCACTTCGACAAACACCCCATCGTCGTCCTCAAAGACGTCAAATTCCAAGAACTGAAAGCCATGATGGACTACATGTACAGGGGCGAGGTGAACATATCCCAAGACCAGTTGGGCGCCCTCCTCAAGGCGGCCGAATCCCTTCAAATCAAAGGTATCAGAATCAGTTCATTCATCGCAAAAATAATAGTTTGATCAATACAGACCAAATACAAATGCATATTTATCAGACCAGTAAAAAAAAGTGGCATGACTAGACTTTGGAATTATTATCAAATTGCATTTTCAATTTTGGAAAGCTGTAGCAAGTCCTAAGTTTCAACAATTGAGAAGCTGTTTACATCACAGACACAATTGAATTAATTGTATAGTGCCTTTCAGAATGTTGTCAATATATTATGTGAAAAACTTGATAACCATTAATTTTGAAATATGAATTGAGCATCAAGTTTTGCTTCCATGAAATATTTTACTGACTCAAAAGTTACATTTGTTCAAATTTTTCCCTGGAAACGGGATAATTTGTTTGCATTTCAAAATTGCTTACTGAGTGAAGTTGTTTCTATCCTGATTTTGCACATGTCTCGCATTTGAATGTTCTATTGCAACTTTTTGATTTTTCTCAAATTTATTCCAATGAAAAATCAACTTCCGCAAAAGTGTTTCTCACCAGAAGCTTCATCATGTTACTAACACCTTCAATTACTATTTATTGCTCATTATTTACAAAAAAGTATTATTTTCAGTAAATTGATAAGCCTGCTTCATATTTATGTTTGGTGCAAAGTTGATGTATGGTCGGAAGCATTTAGGAGCTAAATTTATTTAAAGTGATTTTTGAAAGTAATAAAGTTATGCCGAAGGCATCAATCAAAATATCAAAACTACTAAATTGTAGGAAAGTTTTTATATTATTACAGAATTTTCCTAGAAATTCAAAAATATCAAATACTTGCAAGATGCCAGAACGTTCAAACTTGAGGTTTTTCCGAAAGAATCTGTATAAAAAGGTTCAATTATGAGAAAAAGAAGGCGAACATTTGAATTTTTTTGTGAAATAACTAAATGATGACATTTAAAAAATTCATGATTGTTTTGATAAGGTAAATATCAGATTTTTTTTCATTTACACCGATTTTTTTCTTACATATTGAAATACTGAACCTCACAATCTCTTACTTTCATTATCTTTCTCTATTGTCCAGATTTACACTTGAAAAATCTCCTCAGTGACATACCTAACAAAAAAAATTGTATTTACATGGAAATTTTCCACAGCATCCAGCAGCTTTCCTGTCCAAACAGAAAAATTTCCTTTTGTTTTCGTGATTTCACTTTCGATTAAATAAACTATCTTCCTTTTCTTGAATTCCCTGATATCTGCTTCTGTGTATTAATGTTTTTTTGCAGTAATCTATAATTTGATTTAAATCATTGAAATTGAGAAAATCAGTTGTTTTACATTATGATTGGAATCATTTGATTCAAATCGTCACTACCCTGAGTTGTGAGTTCACATTTTCATTATAACATTATAGATTCGCAGTTTTTTGAAATAATATTTACCTGGGAAACAAATGAATAATTTTTAATAAATCTCAAAACATGATATAGAGAGAACAAAGACCATTGATTGTTAAGAAATTGATGGATTCATAATAATATGAAACTCATTACTTATCGAGACTTCATCCTTTTAAAGTAATTAGAATTGGGTAACTTATAGTTAACATATTAAATAACTGATCAGTGATTAGAATAGCTATAAATTAATTCCAGCTAAAACTGATTCGACTTGAAAAAAGTTAGTCAACAATTTTCATTACAAAATTCGTGTTTTCACAACAAAGTACGTGTTTCAAAAAAATTAGCATATGGAATGTCAACTTACCTGGACATTTCCTGTCTTTTCAGGTCTGTCGGACAACAAGCGCGGCGAGACGGAGCGCAAGCCCGTGCTGGCGCCCAAGAGCCCGCCCGCGGCTGCCGCGCCCGCCCAGACGGCGCTGCCCAAAGTGCAGGGCCTCACGATCGAGCAGCGCGGCAGAGAAGAGGGCAGGGAGGGCAGCACGTCGCCCGGCCCTCGGAAGAAGAAGCGGATGCGGCGGAAGAGCGAGGAGATGGATAACCATCACGACGCGTCAAATTCCTCAGAGTCTCACAGCCTGCCCGCCGCCCACACGGTGAGATGCTTTTTTTTTTTTTTCAGTTTTGATAACGCCTACGTTGTGGAATTTGTCTCCATTCACCGATTTCTGCAGGTTTTTTTTTTGTACTGTGGAGCTTGAAGAAACATTGCCAATTGAGCATGTAATTAAGTGAATTTATTTATTGTGGGAATATTGGAAAATCTGAAGACATATGTGCGGTTAGATGAAATAGCTTTGTTTCTTTGAATGAATAAATTGTGTAACTGCAATAATTCATCAGCTCCCCCTTTGCAACATGAATATTTTCTAATCATGAATGCAGATGTGCTATACTGCTAGCATTTTTTTACTGCAATCAAATGCTATACTGCTAGCATTTTTTTACTGCAATCAAATGCTATACTGCTAGCATTCATTGTTACTGCTATCAAATGCTATACTGTTAGCATTCATTGTTACTGCCATTAAATGCTATACTGCCAGCATTTTTTGTTACTGCTATTGAATGCTATACTGCTAGCATTCATTGTTACTTTTATGAGATTGAATACTGCTAGCATTCTTTGTTACTGTTATTAAAATAATGTTATGCTGCTAAAATTTTTAGTTTCTTCACAGATATGCTATTCTAATACTGCTAACATTTTTTGTTCCTGCTCAGAATTTCTATACTTCTATCATTTTTTTACTGCTATGTAATGCTATACTGTTAGCATTCATTGTTACTGCTATCAAATGCTATACTGCTAGCATTTATTGTTACTGCTATTAAATGCTATATTCCTAGCATTTTTTGTTCCTGCTATTGAATGCTATACTGCTAGAGTTCATTGTTTTATGAGATTAAATACTGCTAGCATTCTTTGTTACTGTTATTAAATGTTATGCTGCTAACATTTTTTGTTTCTTCACAAGATATGCTATTCTAATACTGCTAACATTTTTTGTTCCTGCTCAGAATTGCTATACTTCTATCATTTTTTTACTGCTATCAAATGCTATACTGCTAGCATTCATTGTTACTGCTATCAAATGCTATACTGCTAGCATTTATTGTTAATGCTATCGAATGCTATACTCCTAGCATTTTTTGTTACTGCTATTAAATGCTATACTGCTAGCGTTCATTGTTACTTTTGAGATGCTATACTGCTAGCATTTGTTTGATACTGCTCAGAATTGCTGTACTGCAGACAATGCCAACATTGAATATTTTTGTTAATGCCATGAAATGTGTGCTGCTAGCATTTTTTGTTACTGCTATGAAATGCTATACTGCTAGCATTTTTTTCAGGATTACTATGCTGATAGTGAAATGTTTACATACTGCTAGCATTTATTGTTACTTCTTAGTAGTGCTATACTGCTACCATATTTTGATCAGAAAAGCTATACTGTGCTAAAATTTTTTTGTTACTGCTGAGGAATACTATACTGCTAGCATTCTTTGAGCTGGTCAGAAATGCTTCACTACTAGCATTCTTCTGGTTATTGCTCAGAATTACTATACCGCTAGCATTTTTTATTACTGTTACTATTCATTGTTGCTGCTATGAGATGCTATACTGCTAGCATTCTTTAAACTGCTCAGAAATGCTATACTACTAGCATTCTTCTGGTTATTATATACTGCTAGCATTGAGGAATGCTATACAGATAACAGTTTAGGGTTACTGCTCAGAAATGATATACTGCTACTTACTTTTGTTACTGGTCAGAATTGCTATACTACTAGCATTTTTTGTAACTGCTAGCATTTTTCTGTTACTGTTCAGTAATACTAGCTAGCATTTATTCCTTACTGCTCAGGATTGCTATATTGTTGACAAGTTTTGCTATGAAGGCTGTACTGCTAACATTGAAATTTATTTTTACTGCTATTGGATGCTATACTGCTAGCATATAACTGGTTTGAAATGCTATACTGCTAGCATTTATTGTTATTTCTTAGTAGTGCTACACTGCTACCATATTTTCGTCCCGATCTGAAATGCTATAGTGCTGATTTATTTTGTTACTGCTCAGAAATACTATATTGCTAGTATTCTTTTAACTGCTCAGAAATGCTTCACTACTAGCATTCTTCTGGTTATTGCTCAAAAATACTATATTGCTAGCATTCTTCAAATTTTTCTGGTTATTGCTCAGAATTGCTATACTGCAAGCATTTTTTTGTTACTGCTATCATTCATTTTTACTATTTTTTACCCATGAGATGCTATACTGCTAGCATTATTTGTCCTGATGAAAAATGCTATACAGATAACAGTTTTGGTTACTCTTCAGAAATGCTATACTGCTAGCATTTCTTTGGTTACTGGTCAGAATTGCTATACTACTAGCATTTTTTGTAGCTGCTAGCATTTTTCTGTTACTGTTCAGAAATACTAGATAGAATTTTTCGTTACTGCTCAGGTTTGCTATACTGTTGAAAATTTTAGTTACAGCTATGAAGGCTGTGGTGCTAACAATTTATTGTTCCTGCTATCGAATGCTATACTGCTAGCATTTATTACTAGTTTGAAATGCTATACTGCTAGCATATTTTGTTACCGTTCAGAATTGCTATAATGCTAGCATTTCTTTGGGTACTGCTCAGAAATGCTATACTGCTAGCACTGCACAGAAATGCTATACTGCTAGCATTTGTTTGGTTACTGCTATTCAATTTTATACTGATGCATTTTTTGTTACTTCTCAGAAATGCTTTGCTGCTAGCATTTTTTGATCCTGCTCAGTAATGCTTTACTTCTAGTATTTTTTGTTCATATTCAGTAATGCTATACTGCTAGCATTCTTCAGAATCCCATCTCATATTTAAAAAATATCAGTATCATTTATCTGTTGAATTTAAAAAACTACTGTTCTCAATCTGGCATTCTCCATTTTTTGTAAAGCACTAATATATAATTCATATAGCACTTTATCTGTCCAATTCCACAAAATGCAAAATTGTTAGAAAATATAACTTCTGAAATTCCCTCATGCATGATAGTTGTGATTGGAGAAAATGTTTTGGTTTGTCATTTACGCTTATTGTCTAGAAGCGACTAGGAACCTTTTGAACATCAGTGGATTTATTCAAAAAATCGTTTTTCGATTCTTCCAATTCTCACGCCATCCGTTTCTCCCTTGTCGTTGCAGACCGCCCCCGCTCTCCTACCCGCCATCTCGAAAATGTCCGCCGACGTGCCTGAACCCGTAGAAACCAAATCCGAAATCCTAACAAGGCACAAACAACAACAACCACAGCCCGACGACCACACCCCGCAAACCCAACAACAACTACCGATACTGAAGGAAAAGATCGAAACGCACACGGAACTGATGCTCGAGCCGAAGGCCGAGTACGTGGAAGAGATGAACGAGGACAGTATCGAGGATTTGACGTTGGACGACGATGATTTGAGTAATATGGAGCAAATGGACGATCAGGCGGGGCCGAGTCACGGGAACGCGGGGGAAGGATCCAGCCAAGGTAAGTCATTAGTTTTTATTTCCCCTTGTTTTTTTTTCCACCACTAGCTGTTGAATATTTAAAATGGTTCGGCTACTTAGAACAGCGATATCAGAAGCTATCTGAGCCTAAGCAGAAATGTTGAAGGATAGGAATGAAATAAAGATAATCATTATCAACAATGGGGAAGTTTTCTTAGGATGATTTTTTCAATCTATAATGACAATAGTGAATTGAAATTTGAATCATTTCTATTTCCAAGCTATAGCAATTGAGAAATGTTTTGGCGGAAAATGGTGTAACTGTGTGTGTAGTATGCTGTGATACACTACACATCTCTGAAGAAGCCTGAACTGAAAACTAAAAAGGAAAATGAGTCAACATACTTCTTTAAGAACGCCTACTTGATGATTATGAGTATAAAATAAATGAGGAATAGAAGGGAAGTGAAATTGGAGCATATTGATTAATATTCGAAAAGATTACAATACTGATAAACTAATTGAATTTTTCACGATGTTCTCTGAACATTACAGGATATCCCTTTTGTTGGGAACTAGAACATAAAGAAAATGAATTGAGAAGATAGTGTAAAAAAACCATAAGCAGCAATAACAATATCATGGTTTGGTATAAAGCTGGTTTTGGGCGCGGTTGGCACCTATAATTCACTAATTTCTTGGAAACAATGAAAATCCACTCAGGAACCCTTCAAGCTAGAATTTTATTTTGATTTTATTCATAACAAGATTCAACTTTTAGTAATAAATGTATTCTAGATCTTATTGAATATATCTGTTTTTCATCAGGCATCCACAAATAATTTTGATTACACTTTTTGAACTAGCCAGAAAATCAAATTACAAACATCATTCCATTTAAAAGTTTCAATATAGTCAATACATACAAAACTTCCTAATACACAGTCATATTATTGGAAGCGGCAGCGTCGCAGTCACGCTAGCAAAATTGCATATTAGCTCTGTGTGAACTTGGGATAGTTCACCAATGACGTCAGCAGAATGGTGAAGGAGCCGAAACTAGTTCTTTAATTTCTTTTCTAGAATGAGTTCAGCTTATTGAGAAAATAAAATATAGGTATATAATGATTTTTCATAACCTTCACGGTGAAATATATATCTCAATATAGGAAACTTCTCCATTATTTGAAAAGGGAAAACTTCTTGAATCAATCACAATTATCTTCGGCAAAGAATTTTCCGGGAGAATAGTAGTTGAAACATCAGAGACAAAGTTATGAACAAATTTCTAATCTAATACCCACAAACGGCTGGTACCACAAACTGAAATGAAGATGGCAATGTCAAATCTGGCTCCTAAATTCTTTCTGATTTAGATTAGAGTGATCAGACTAAATGAGACTAGTTCTGGATTTAGAAAGATGTTGAATATGAGAAATTTTCCACACTTATTGAGTGACACAAAAATGATGAATTTTTTTTATGAACTGGTTTTTCAAAATTTCTACAACTAGATATTCATTAGGATAAAAACGTGTGCTCTCAAAATACTAGGGAACTAAATATTATGATGAAGAAAACATTACTAGTGGTGGAAAAAATAATATAATATACACCTTGGTAGTGAAGAATATTATTTACCACTGTCCCTGCGATTAGTGGTATTCTTTCTATCATAGTGTATGAACAACTATTACCGTGCGAGTTTAGTGTTTTGGGAAGATCTGGGAATAATTGGTCGGTGGCGCCCCCTTTTTTAACCTTTCGGAACTCTCGTCAAATTCTCAGTAGCTGCTACATCATAAGCATTGATAGCCCAGTAGTGACTGTGTGCTTTCATAGTTTATAGTAAACTTACCATTGGAAGGAAAGTAAGGCAAGAACGAGATAATTCCAATTCTGCTACTGGTCGGTGTAGATACTGTGACAGAAAGAAAAATCGACCTACAAGATACTCCTGTGGACTATGTAGAAAATGGATGTGTTTGCAACATTGTAATTTCATATGCAGGGAATGCAAAGTACAGACGAAATGATTTATTTCTTATTTTCTTCAAAAATATTTCTGTCATTTTGACCAAATAGATATAATACCTGAATTATATTGTTGCTTTTATTGTATCATAATAAAACATTTATAATGATAGCGATTTATAAACATGAGTATGATTCCGCGCGCGCGTGTTATTGTAGGAAGATCATGTGCGAGATCCGAAAGGTTAAACTAGCTGTACTGATTGTGGTCAAAAGTAATTAATTTTCCAATATCTGCTGCTTTTTCATGAGTTAGTTGGAGGCTTCTTTGTTTCATTATTGTTTTTTCTCGTCCAAGTGCTATACAGCTAGCATTTTTTTGTAACTACACCAATTTTGAAACAAATATCATTATCAAATAAAATAATACAATGGAAAAAATACTTATTTGAATTTTTAGGTTACTCCCTAGTTTACACTGAAATGATATAATGCTACCATTTTTTTACATTATTGCTGAGCTGCTACTTGTTTCCACTCTAAATTGTTGAACTGCTATGTAATCAGGAAACAAGACATTAAGTTATCTCCATGACATTTAATCTCAGAATTTCCATCATCCAGCAGAATGTAACTGCTAGCATTTTCTATGCTAATACTGTTAGCATTTCAACACTGAATGTTGTGCACTGCCAGCATTCATTTAGACAGTATTATTTTACAATTATAAGAAACTAGCATTTTTCACTGACCTGCCATTCTGTCAATATTTTTTATTTTCACTGCCAAATGCCCAACTAGCTAGCTTCTTCAACAATGAAATACTATGGGTATTTTACTGAATTGATGCTGTATTTTACCAGCATTTTTTTGTTTTTACCATTTATAGCTGTACTACTGATATGTTTAGGTCTCCACTGGAACTTGCTATACTGCTAGCATTTTCCGCGTTTGTTTTGAATGCAATTATATTTTGTTATTGTGCTAATTGAAGAAAAACTTGCGTTAGTTGGTACTATCCTTTGAAATTCATGGAATTTTCCAGACATGTCGAAAAATCATATTTTCATTCATGAAAGTGCTTGAAAGCTAATATTTTTATGGAACCTATTCAGATGTTTCACCAAAAAGAAAGATTAGATCATAATTGACAAAATTGTGATTCCATGGAAAGAAATCTAATTCTTATAGGGCTTTGTCATTATGCTAAACTGATAGCATGTTTCATGACTAATATTATAATATAATGATAATTTTTTTATTCACACTGATTTTCCAGTCAAATTACTAGAGAGAGATACGTTGAATATTTCCAGGAAGTCTGGAAAGGAAGCATTATGTATTGATTGGATTCATGTAAAATGCTATACTGCTAGCATTATTCAAATATATTGATAAAAAATATTATTTCCTTACTCAAGATTTTAAATTGAAAACTGGAATTCTTGATGGTTCATGACATAGTGACTGAAAACCATTTTTGTTGTCGAAAATACTGTAAGATACATGAGTTCTGGTTATGAACACTTGATTATTAGTTTTCTCTACATAACATTGCATGGGATTTCCCCACAGTAGAACGATTGTTTTTTTAGAATTTTAAAGTCATCTTAAAGTCGTAAAACTAATGCTAGTATGATTTTGGTCCAAATTCAGAAAATTGTCATTATTCAGAGTTGTGTATTTCAGCATTTATGGTGATTGATTTCACAGTTTTAGTTAGTAACAATTTTTTTATTAAATCAGTTGATATCGGACCTTATCTAATGAGCAAAACCGTTTTTTTTTCTAATTTAGATTCATCAAATTGAATAAGAGGTCGAGGTTTTAATCAGATTTAATTCTTCTGAATTATTTTTTCAGTATTTAATTCTTGGATTATTTTTTTGAAAGGATGAAATTGTGGAAGTATAGTTTGAAATTTGTGCTGAACAAAGCAAGAAAATATTAAGTTTCAGAATCTGACGTGACGGAATTTTTACAATAATTTGCCGAAAAAGAAGACAGATACATTGATTGATTTTAAATTTGTTTCTAATATACAAATATATTTGTTCTGTATACTATGCAAAGGAAGATTTCAATGTTTTTTCTGTACTCTATCAGAATAGACTGACAAATCTACTGTGTAGTATTCAGTACTTATATTTGAATGAAATTTCTGCTAAAATTAAATTTCTTACATATTGCAAGTTCCAAAAATCAACTATTTCATTTGTGTTGATAAGAAATGGTGCCAATCAAGCATTTGTATTTACTAAGCTGTGATTTTTTTCTATGATCTACTCTTATCATTGAAAAAATTATAGTGTGCCGATGCTTTGACATAATTATTTATTAACACAAATAAAATTTATCATAAGCCCTTGAAAACTTTCAAGCTTGTTTCTCTTTTGTATGTTTACTTTGGTGACATTATTTTAAACTTACAGTTGCTTTTGTGCATTTGAAGACATTTCGTTTTGTCTAGTATCATTCGTCAACATTTTTCAAGTTCTAAATTTAGGACTTGGGCTTTGAGATGTTGATGTCACTAGGCGAGAAATGTTTTTATTTGAAGATTGGAAAGTCAAATGAAAGTTTATGATAATTTCACTGATGTTCTACATTCAAAAGAGAAGGGCATCTTGAAAAGGTTTTTCATCATGGCTCAGTTTCCAAATATACCAATTTAAAAATCCATTGTCCTAAAATGTACTTGATCATTGATGCTACTCATTATTGGTGGTCATGAACTTTTAAAGATACTGGTTTTTTCAAATTGTGTAGTTGTTACTGAATCTGATAACTTGCTTTAGCTTGAATTGAGTACATAAGTTTCATTTGAGAAGATTGAAAATTTCGTCACTGACTTATTTGAAGAGTGCTTGTCATAGTTTGTGCTCTTGAAAAACAATGATAACCCAACACAAATTTTCAAAGATGCTTGCCATGGTTTCTGCTTTCTGAAAAACATAATAATCCAAGCCATTTTGAAAAATGCTTGCCATGGTTTCTGCCCTGAGGAGCAATAATGATAATTTGTACTGAATGATCCCATTTGAACTTATTATTTCATCTTGGTGG